TATATATACTGTATATAAAATAAAAGCAGATGGTCTGTTTCTTTCTAGTGAAATAGTCAACGTGCTGCAGTAGAATGAGAGGTTTTCTAAAGGGAGTCTGGTGCTCAGATGCAGTACCACTTTAGTCCACAGGGGGCGACAGAATCAATACTACATGACTAAACAAACATTTAATATTAGATATTTATACAGTTAACGAGAGCAGAGACACTGAGACAGAGACAACAGAGGGTCATTACGTGAGCTGTCAGTGTGTGTGTGTGTGTTTCCATGTCAAGTTCTACTTTAAAACAGTCAGTGAGAGGAGCTCAGAGTGTTTCCTGAAGTTACAGCTACACACAATAAAAGTACATCTGTCAATACTACAAAATAAACCTCCATAAATTCATAACTTCTATGAAATAACTCTAAATATGTCCTCAGTCAGCAGCTGTTTGTTGACTGAATAAACTGAATCATGGGGAGGCTTCATAAAAGATGTTTTAAATATGAATAATTAGGTTTTAAATACAGATGTTTAGCAGTAAACAGTCGTGTTTATCAGTGTGTGTGAAGATAAATGAGTTTCAGACCTTGAAAGCGAGAACGTTTTGTCTTTGAAGAGCCGAGAGTTAAGATAATAAAGTCCAGTTAGTTTACTCTATCTATGTATCACTTCATGTATATTTATTACAGATTACACAAACAGAAGAGTTGTAATGATCATTCATATTTTATCAGATAACTAAGGAAGTATGTTGGACTGCATCTCCCATCATGCACTGCTGCTCCAGTTAGAACTAGTCTGAGGTTCCATGAAGAGTTTTGTGAGAATGTAGAAGAAGAAGAAGTAGAAGAAGAAGGAGAAGAAGAAGAAGAAGAAGGAAAAGAAGAAGGAAAAGAAGGAGGAGGAGGAGGAGGAGGAGAAGAAGAAGAAGAAGAAGAAGAAGAAGAAGAAGAAGAAGAAGAAGACTCTTACAGATGTGATCACTGTGATGTCAGAGAAGGAGTCCAGAGCTGGAGAGGCCAAAATATCAGAGTAGAGGAGAACCAGCTCTCTGTGGAGA